TTTTCTTTTTTTTTTTTTGGTGTCCACTACTATACTGTTTTATGCTCCCTGGAGTCCTTTCCTGGCAAAGAGCTTTCAGTAATTTTCATTTCACTGCAGTGCTTAGTCATAATAATGGTGGAGTTTATTTGTAAATAAATTACCCTGAGCCTGCAGCTTTGGACAAAACAAAGTCCAGACCAGCATCTTCTTAATTTATGCTATGAATGACTCTTAATATTCTTGACTTTTCTACTCATCATATGTCCCCTGCTCCCATGCCCCCCAACCCCAATACCTGGATGTTGCCATGCGGAGATGGTACATAAACACACAGAGTGTGGTATCACAGGTCGATGTTGACCCCTCTCCCAAATCACAAGGTTGACAAGTGCAACCACATTCTTGGTGACTCAGATGTTCTCCTGTGTAAAGTACACTTTCTATCTGTGGTTCACATTATAAAAAAAAAGCCTCCTGTCTCTCTTTATTCCTCAGCTGCTAATATCTTTGTGTGCTTTTCCTTCTACAGATCCAGAAGGCTTCCACTTTTCTTTCTTCTTTCAGTACTAATTGCCACTGAGAAAAGAAAAGTTCCCTGGACTTCCGTTCTATCACTAAATAAATTTTATTCTGGGAGGAATAGCAGAGCATGTTTTAGTTTTAAAATTATTAACTAGGAAATTTCCTATTTGATAAACTTCTTAATTTTTTTGAAAATTAGCATTTCTGCAATATTTCTTCAGATCTCTAACCAAAGGATAGCCTTAGGGATCCTTTATTAAGCTAATTAAGTTTACATGAGCCCTGAAAGATAGTGCTGTTCGTTCATGACTTAAACCCCCTCAGTACTAGAACAAGAGCAGATATATTACATGTTACTAAAAGTATTATCTTGCACTAAGAACTAATACAACACACAGTATTTTCAGGACTATAAACTTCTTAGATTAATTTGCTATCACATGAGAGAGTCTTTTTTCCTTTTTCTAGATAAAAAATATTACGAAAAAAGTATCTATACTGAACATGTACAGACTTTTCTCTTGTCATTATTCCCTTAATAAAACAGTATAGGAACTATTTACCTAGTGGTCCCATTATTAGGTATTATAGTTATCTAGTAATGATTTACAGTTCAGAAGGATGTGTATAAATTATATACAAATATATAATTTTATACAGAGGATTTTTATACCCATAGACACTGGCCCTCAGGGGAAAGTCTTAGAACCGCAGGACACTGAGGAGCAACTCTATATAGTTTTTGTCTGCCTAAATCCAAGGAGCACATTTTTAGCTGAAGGAAATAAATATTAGAACTTACTTAGAACCTTTGCTTTCTTTATTGCAAAATGGAAATGATAATACCAACCTTACTAGCATAGTAGAAAGCAGAAAGAAGAAAGCAGAAGTCAGGGTGCCCAGCTGGGCCAGCCATAGAGTAGGTATTCTATCAATTTTAGTTGAATCAGAACTTGGCAGAATGAAGCAGTTGGAAGTTGCATTAAGCAAGTCTCATGAGGGAGATCATACAATGTGTTAGCATATGGGAGGTGAGGTCAGACATATTCATTTGTATCTAAGGCTAGCTATGTAACATCTCTGATTCATAATATCTCTACCTGTGAAAACAATGTAGTTAGGAGGATTTAAATATTACAGTACAGTGATTATGAAAGTGTGGCACAAGAGCTTATCATAGACACATGGCAAATTCTTATAAAATTAAATATGCATCCTTACATATGTTGTGTGTATCACAGGCAACAGCAACATAAAGACAACTATATGACCCATAACAATATAGAAATATATATAATATATGTAAGATATGATCACAAAATACAATGACTGTTTTAATTTAAAATTGTATTTGAGTGTAAGATACATAGCCATTAATCCTCAAAATACTTCCCCTTACTTTTCACACACTTATCCCATTGTTGCCACTTTCAGAAGCAGTTCTGGATGTCCTCTTTCAGAAGTGTCTAGTTGTGCTGTTGTGGCTGCCTCAATGTCCTGAACTGATTTAAATCATGGACATTTTGACTTTGGGGAAGAACAAGAGTTCTCACAGTGACAGAGATGGGAATAAGGTAGATAAGGACCTACTGTAATATTTTTATTTGATAGAACTAGCCAAAAACTTTTGATCAATGTGAGGTGATCTAAAAATACAGTGGATGCTTAAATAAAAAATTGGTTACAGTATAAGACGTATTGCCACAAGTCCTCTTCAGAATACTCAAACTACCCTCCCCCTTTATTTCAAATATACTTTCCCATTATTCTTGGGAGTGTGTCTTTTACTATAACATGTTTTGTAAAATTTAAATAGTTGCTATATTTTTTGACCATCGTTTGTATATGTTGGGCAAATGGGAGAGAATGATCAGAATCTGATAGCTGTTAATCTACTAAGGTTTCAGGCAGGAGTCAAGATTCAAGGGCAGGAATGGATATCATCAAGGAAGGACAGTAATCACATGTGCTGAGCTGAATAAGTTGGGTGGGAGAAAAGGTGTGTATTACCTGGGAGTGGCAGAGGAGAAAGCAAGAGTGATAAAAGAGTAAGAGGAAGTTACAAAGAATAACCACCAGGGAGTTGAGTTTTTATATTTTAAACCCTAAATTTCTACCCACTCTCTCTCCAGTGTCACTGGGAGGCCTTACCTTTCCTCCTGAGCACATTCCCAAACACACTGCCAACTCCAGACTGAGATAGTTACCTTCCATTTATTCCAGACAGGTTTTAGGTGGGTGTAAATAATGGACTGTGAAATGGTGTAAAGAATCAAATAGAGCAACGCCTCCTTCCCTCGTTCCTTGCATGAAAGTACTGTATGTGTCATTTCCTTACCCTGCATTTCGTTGTCCAGCTTCTCCTCCTTCACCTGTGTCTGTTAATGATCACCATGATCTTGATGGTAATGATGACACGATCAGACCATCATAAACTTCAGTGACCGTCTTTTTTCTTGCGCCAGCTGCTATGCTAAGTATCTCTACATATTTTGTCACTTAAATCCAACAGTAGCTCAACCTTAGGAACTATTACCATTCCTATCTTATAAATGAGGACATTTTGTCTCAAAGAGGCTAAGTTCCTGTAATAGGGTTAATACCAAGATTGTGGGATTACAATTCAAATCTTGGAGCTTGAGATCTTAAACTACTACTGAAATGACAAAAATCCAAAAGCTGGGCTTCTAAAGAAGGGCGTACATTACAATTTAGGCATTCCTAATGAAATGTCACTGGTGCTGATGTGCATATACTTTGTTTCTAGAGAGACAGGCCCATGGTCTCCTTTTTTGTGCATTTAATCTGTGGTTCATTTTGATGCAGACCCATGATGTTAGTCTCTTTAGGATATTTTGGCTGGCTTTGTAATATCCCCTTTGTTTTCATTTCATGATTGTTTGATGTCTTCAAGCTTAATGATGCAGAACTAGAGAGAACATAACATCATTTTGTGATTTTTAAAACTAAATAGTCATTGCTTTTGCAAGTAGCCTAAGATATTTTTAAGAACAAGGCAGTTAATGCTACAATATGAGCACACCAAAGTATCTTGGTTATTTATGTCTGTTTTGTTCCTTCATGTCTAAAATGTTTTCAGGATTCCAGACTGAAGTTGAAAAAATGGCTAATCTTACCCCGCTGATGGACAATGAGGTTCTCAAGGCCTTTGGTTCCTATACAACGATTATTCTTGCAAAAATGATGTTTATGAGCACTGCAACAGCCTTCTTTAGACTAACAAAAAAGGTAAGCAGACTTTTAAGAGTTGGGATTTTAACAAGCAGGTTTTCTTTTTTTTTCTTTTCTAAGGCCCAACAGCAACCTGCTCAGTGCTGTAAGGGAAATATAGAATCACGTGATGCAGATGGATATATTTATAGACAAGTGCTTTCACTCAGGAACTACTTTTTTTTTTTTTTTTTCCTTTTTGGCTTTTACCTTTTCTCATTCTACTTAGTAGATGTGATTTTGGTGTATTAAGGCTTTACTCATGCTAAATTTCATAGTCAGGGTGTTTTCTGTGCGTTTGGAGTTCATTTTGTCAATTAGACTTTACTGCTATTTTCTGCTCTATTTATAGGTCAAGGGTATTCTTTGGTGAGGGCGGAAAAAAAGATTGAAAAAAATACAGAAAGATACAAACAAACAAACAAACAAATGAAGAAAAAGACAGACAAGCCGAGAGTTAAAGTCCTTATTCTTAGAGCCTGATAGGATTGAAATAGACCAACCATCGAATTGATTCCTCGATTAGATAATGCAGGTTTCCACATAGCATTTTAAGAATGACTTTTTAAAACTTGGAGGTATGGGAAAGATGGTAGGGAGATTTTGAAGCACACACTGTGTTCTAGCAGGGTTTAATACACAGTACATCAGGGAAGAGGGTAGAGCAAGGCTTCTAGACAAAGTTTAAGAAATTTTATTAGTGCACTCTGTGCATATTCCACCTCTTTGTAGATTCACACATTTGTCTTTCTTTCCTTTTTTCTTTCACATTTTAGTGCCTGTTCTAAATTTTTGCCCTGGAGAGCCTTGCTTTTATCTGGAGTGCACAGTCCTCGCTAAGGTGTTTCCTTGTTTTTGAGTACATTTGCAATTTAATGGGGAAACTTCTCACTGTGGCCACCTATTGTAGCAAGCGACACAAAACTGGTTGCCTGCCACAGGTCCAAACCCTCCTCTGGAAATAAAAAAGGCAACAAGGAAATATATCTAGTCTTACAAGAAAAGAAGCAGGGAAATCCAATTTGTGGAGTGCAAGGAGCTGTTACCGTTTGTACGCGTGCTAGGTCATGGCCTCATTCTGTGTTCTTTTTAGCATTCTCAGGTGCAGAGGAACTGAGAGCCACAGAAGGTGAATAGCTGCCTGAGTCACTTTGGGCTTCTCTTACAAACTATCCTAGACTGGGTTGCTTAAATAAGATTTATTTCTCATGATTCTGGAAGTAGGCGAGTCCCGGATCAAGATGCCATTGTTGGGTTCCTAGTTTGCATGTGGCATCCTTTTTCACTGCATACTTACTTGGGGCGAAGGGCAGAGGGGGCATCTTTGTCCTTTATCCTGTCTTTTTTCGTAAGGCCACTAATCGAGTGGGGTGAAAGTCTTAGCTTAGAGGGTCCCAAAAGACCAGGTATTTCCGCTTGTCAGAAAATGCCAGTCCAGGAGATGAGTAGAGGTGAAGGTAAGAGGAACATTAATCAGATGGTCGTGTTAGAAAGAGAAAGAGATCTTGAGAAGCCAACAGAAACTTTGAGGTTTTTTTAGAAAAGGGAAACAAAGGCAGGGGTTGGAGGTTTGCAAAACTGAGAGGTTTGCATAACTGGCTGGGTAAGTAAACCTTGTCCTGCTGTGGTCTGGTTGATCCATATCTCAGAACCAGCTCTGCTACATACTGGAAAAGCCATCAACCCCTGAGGGAGCAATGAGGCTCCCATGGGTAGGGTGTGTTAGTTGCTCCCAGAGAAATCTCATCATGGGGTGATCTGTGGTGCAGAACGTATCACTGCATGGCAGGGACTTTTGGTCCCTTGTCATTACAGTCTGTACGGATCAGGCTTCATGGAAGCCAGGGACAAAATGACTCCAAAGGAAAAAAAAAGTTAATAGCAAATGGACTCAGAGAGGGACAAATGGAGTTAGTTAAGCCAGGGACTGTGTCCTCCTTCCATCCTGTTCATGAGGGCTCCACCATGGGACTTAACACCTTCCACAGGCCCCACCTCCAGACATCATCACATGGCGTTAGACTTTCATGTGTGCGTTTCATGAGACTGCAGACATTCAATCCATAGCAGCAGTTTGCCCAGGGTTACATACCAGCCAAGGGTGAGGCTGGGTTTCAAATTCGGATTGGTGTAAGCCCAAATCTCATGCCCTTTCCACTGTAGTTCATTTCTTTATTCACACTGTGTACATTGAACATTTGAGGTGGGCCAGGCATTTACTTAGAGGATACTGTGATGAACCTGACAGGCCTGACCTGAGCCCAGGTGGGGAGGACTGCATCTCTGCCCGTCGGTTTGCATCAATACTTTCATCTGGATTAATTGCTCCTATCATTTTAAGAAAAAAGTATTACAATATTTATGAGATTTTTTTCAAGCTTAAATTAAAATTAATTTTATAGTTTTTTCCTTTAGTATAAATTATTAAGCAGTAGGGCATGCTTAAATATTTTTTAAATGGATATTTCAAGTTTCAAGGGATAGGAGATCATTTCAAACAGCATAATAATTGCAGCAAGGAAGACATGCACACATGCTTTAGAACATGTACTTGTTATTCATAGTAATGCAGTTCAGCTCCTTAAATTTCACTGTTATTCAACTCAAAATTTTATCCAGTTCAAAAAAGAAAAGAAGTATCCATGTCTTAACAAAGTACCAAACATCTTTCCAATCCTTTACCCTTTTATGCTTCTTTCCTGTTCTGTAACATTTTTGGGAAGTAAATGTAGTACTTTCAGGTCAGAGCCAATCACAGGAAAATATTAATAAACTGGAAGGATGGTGTATCAACATCACCATGAAAAGATGCCACCATTTTAATGGTCACTGATGACTTAGGATTCTGCCCCCTTTCCATCCTTATTTCCTTTTCACTACTTTTTTTCATTCTGGCTTCTACTTAAGTTCTTATTTTTGCTTATTTTAAAGCATTTTTTGGATTGTTAACGTTTCAGGTTAACACTCTGGGTGCTCTCTTTTTGTCCTGTGTTTGATTTATTGTTCCAATTTCCTTTCCATAAAGGCCAGTTTGGATGCCTGTATTTCTTTCATTACAATGCAAATAACTTATTAGGTGGAACCCTCCCGTGTTCCTTAGTCTTTGGAATAAGTTTGTTCTTGGTGTATGGAATAGGTTTTTGCCAACCCAGAAGACGCCGCAAGCTTTGGCAAAGGGGAGAATGCCAAGAAGTATCTTCGAAGCGATGAGAGTGTGGAGCGTGTGCGGAGGTAAGCTGCTGTATCTGGAAATCCCTTACTGCACTTTTGCTCAGGGACTTCAGTAAAGAGGCTGGGTTTTAGATAAGAAGGAAAAAGTTAGTTATTGTACTTGCTTCGTATCATCATTACAGAAAATTAGCGATCCAGAAATCTCCACATATCACTGCAATTATACTTGTTGCCAGTTTTCAGTTTTGTTATATGTGTCTGTGGGCTTTCTTGGGTTTATAAGTATGCTCTATAGGAATAAAGCAACAGTAAGTCTAGGCCGGGAGTAAAATGGGGTCAGAAGATCTTTGCAGTTTTGTCTTCTTTCTCCAGAGGTAAGACTGTCAACTCATATAAGAGGTTGAAGAACTTGGTGTTCTTGAATCAGATTGAAAATATGAAATTTGGTCATGGTTAGAGAAACAGGAATATCTCTCTGTCTCTGTCTCTCTTTTGTAGATACTCTCTTTAATATTCTGAGAATTCAGTGGACAATGAAAATCAGTAAGCAGAGATACAGTCTTCTAAGTGTATAATTAATATACTTGTTTTAAACCATCTTACATTCTAGTTCTGGAGGTCATTTTCTTAAACCTTGTCATAAAGTCATACAAAGTGCAAACAGGTTTTTTTTTGATGCAGTTTCACTGCCAATCCATTAGTCACCTCTTTCTAATATGAAATATTAAAGTTACATATCATCTTCTCATTTATTATCTTCTAATGCTAATTCAATCTGTGGTACATTTCTGAATACTGCAATTGAGACTAAGAGAAAAGAACTTCATTTCTGTAACTGAGGTGTCAGCCCAAATCTCCAGATTACATTTGCATTATCCCTGCGGAAGTCTGCAGCCCCTTCCAACATTTATGTAGATGCCTTTGTGGTACCAGGTAACTGGCTACAGGATTAATGCTGACTTGAAGTTCATGCCTAAGTGCATGCTTCCATAGTCCACATTTTGTTGTGCTCAATGTAAACTTAGCCCTTCCTAGTGTTCCCTCAGGAACTCTAGTGGAAAAAATGTGGATAAAAATGGACATGGCTGAGTTGAAATGCAGAGATTACACTGTGCACACAAACATTTGGAGTTATGTGTTAGAACTCTGGATCTGACTGCGCCCTTTAGCATCCTCTGAGGAATTTGCACGGTACCTTATGCACCTCAAGGAGTGTCCATCCTTACACCATTTGGGGAGCTCCTTTCTTACCCATGTATTCTACTGCCTTTTCAGCACTAAAATTAAATTTACTTCTTGCTTGTGCAAAATGGGTGTACCCCCAAGCTCCTTATCAAGCAAGTTTTTTTTTTGTCTAACAGGAAATCTGTGTTTGATACTTAGAACAAAGTGTTAATGTCTGCTTCTACTTTGTTATCTAATGCCTCAGTCCTCCTATGTAAGTCTGCCAGTCTGGAAAATGGGTTGTGCTGAGAATATGGAGCTAAAATAGTTTAGAACAAAGAATCAATGTGAAAATCTCAAACAGTATTAAAGGAAAAGCTATCCATGCTATGTTGGGAAAGAATACAAATTAGAAAAGATCAGCAAAGCTTTGACATTAAACAATTTAAAGCGTTATTGTACCCATTCTGTGCTTCCCTTTGGAAGGCAGTCACCTGTATGATGCTCATCATGGCCCTGCATAGCGCTCAGAAAACTGCCAGGGACTGGAGAGCGATAGCAGTTAGTCCCTCAGGAGCATTAGTAAGATAGAAAGGAAGGTACAAGTAACTCTTATGTATGGAAGCTTAGCAAAAGGAATTTTGGGGACTTAGACTCCTCCCGAGTATCCTTTCTAACCTCTCATCCCACCCCCCATACCAGTGGGATTGTACTTCTAAAAGAGAAAACCGTAATCCAAGTTGATTCTCTAGTCTGGTTGCAGGTACAAATGACCCTAGTTGTCAAAGGGCTGTGTGAGGAGGTGCAGCGCCTTGTGAGCAGCGCCCCCTGGTGACAAGATAGTGGCCTCTCAGTGTGGCAAGTGGGAATGTCTCCTAGAAGTACAGGGTGTCCGGTTTCCAGTAATAATTTTTCAGAATGCATTGGCCGCATCAAGAAAGTCCCTAGTAACAACACACTTTTAGAGATAATTTTCTGTGATCTTCCCTTTCCATTTTTGATGTAGACTGTCTCCTTTTCCATATCATATTCCAATGGTAGGGACCACAGATAAAGTGAAATCACATCAATAGAGCTACAAATAAAGGGAAAGGTATGCTTTAAAGACTGCTATATTGAAAAAAATGCATATGTACATTTATGGAACAATTGAACGCTCAAAGCAATACGTGTTGAAATATTAAGATATGTGGCATGGGCTCAGTTATTTGAGCTCTGGGCAGACAGATGTCAATGATGGTTAGAAGGTACTTTACATATGTTTTTAATCATTTTTCATTTTGTTCCGAGAATTCAAGACTCAATGCATGAACAAAGCGTTCATTCAAGGTTCTAGTGTATCACTGTCATAGCTTCTTTTGGAATGTTATCAAAGGGCTCCTGTGTTTCGGGGATCTATAACGTTCCCTGTGAAAGCGAGGCCAAGGTGCACGATGTCATTCATTAGAGAATCACATGAAGCCATGTTTCATTGGATCTTTCAGGGCAGGGGATACACACATACATTCCTAGAGTATGTAGGGACACTTCATAAAGGAAGAACTTAAATATGACTTACAGGAAAGAAAAGAAGAGAAAACACCAATTCAGAAAATACCTCAGTGGGATTTGGGGGTACACTGCTGTGTGCTGGAGTGAGAGCTTTGGCTGAGACAAGGGAGTCTGGAGAAGTGTGGAACTCCTTTAGTAGTTGCCCAGCCCTTGGCAGTTCTTAAGTACCTGTAACAACCCAATTTTGCTTGCAGTGGAGGCCAGGATCCAAGCGATTCTGACCTGAGAAATGAAGTATGACAGTGGCACTGTGAGCACAGAGCTTGTGGGGACGTCTGCCTCAGAGCAGGTGTGTTCCAAGGAAGAAAGGAAAGTGGAAATGAGGACTTAGAAAAAATAGACCCCTGTGGAAAGTAGTCACTCAGGAAGACTGATGTCTTTCGGGCCCTCAATGCTGGCAGCTGAGGCCAAGCGAAGGGAAGCTGCCGCTCCGGAGGGTGTTTGTCACTGCACCAGAGGAAGGCTAAGTAGAAGTGAGATGATGAAGGACAGTGAATGTCCCCAGGAAGAGCTGGGCAAGTGTATGTCTGGGACAAAGTTTGGTATGGACTCTGTAGGACTGTGGAAATCAGGCCTTTCTACGAGCCCTCTATGAGGAGTGTTAGGTGAGGGGACCTTGGGTGGGCTGAGCAAAGAGAAAGAGAACTGAGAAAGAGAAAGAAATAATAGAGAGAAGCCAGCAAACAATAGATAGTTCAGTAAGGTCAAAGTACTTCCTGTTCTTGACTTCCTTCTCTTGACTTGCGCATTCCCTTATAGTACTGTCCGTGACTACCTTCCCTGCTTTACAATGCATTCTATCCCACAATCCATTTGGCTTAGCAGCAGACATTGCTTCCTACAGGGTCTCTCTTCTACAGTTTCTTACTCAACTTTAAAGTTTCTGTGATTGTAGAGTGTTTTAGAGAGGAACAGCAATAAGCCCCAACTGGAGGGGAAAACCTGTCTGGTCTTACAAGAGAATGAAAGGGATGGAAAGCAATGCCCTTGGTGTGACTGATGAAGCAGGTCCTCCTTGAGTAGAAAATGATGTTCCTGTCCTTTCTTGCCTATCCCTGCCTTACTTTCAGGAGTCCTTGGTTATTTCATGACAGAGAGGGTATAAGAACACTTACTGCATTCTGTCTTTGCTTTTATTCAGGGGCAGGTAGTGATGCAAACCCTTTCAAACCATTAATTTATCTAGGTTACTTTTACTGCTTCATCACTTCATGTTGTGAGCATCTTTGCGAGGCAGTATTAGAGCTCTCACAAAAAAACAGAAGAAAAATAAGGTGGGGAGATAATGTTGGTCCCTGAGTAGCTAATGTATAATAATTAGATTTTACATAATATGTAATTGAAGAGAGTCACATAACAGAAATATTGTTCATTCTGAAATGTGTATCAGGAGCTGACAAACTATCAAAATCTCTATTTCTAGTTGAGATTCTAAAGCAATGTTAAATGCTGTGGACTTAAAAAGAGACATCACATTTTTAAATTATGCACTTTTAAAAAATGTCAAGACAATAATAGATGTGCCTTTTATTCACAACCCTAGTCAAAGAAGCTCAAGGTACCAGGAATCAAAAGAAATCTGTGGTTAAGGCAAACTTTTTTCCTTCTACTGATCGAATAAAGATAAAATTTAAGAGATCGCCTTCCCTCTTACCATCTTCTGTGTATACTTTGTATTTTTCCTGTATCATTATTAACGGCTTTCTATTGTGATTTGAAGTTAGAATGGCTAAATTTTACCTATGTTCAGGAGGCTAGTTTTGTGTTTCGCAGTTTGGATGTTTAGAGTATGAAGTTCTTGATATTTATTTGGTAAATTAATTTTAGCAGACTACTAGTCTAGGTGACTGGACTGGATTTGAGAAATAACCATTTTGAAAACTAACAGAAATGGAAGAGGGGTCTTAACCAAAAGGTTTTTTTTTTTTTTTTTTTTTTTTCCTTTGGGAAGAAGAATTTTTCTAAGAAGGATCTTGAATTGCAGCCATATATTTCATAGTATAAAAAGTAAAGTGAGTTTTTCTAGATAGGTACAATTTTGATATTCCAGAAACTACAAAATTACTTCTCAGTTACTTATGGATATACACTAAAAATAAAAAGAAACCCAAATAATGAGATGTTGTAAAGAAAAGTGAAGTGGGTTAGAAAGCAAAGTAATTGGAGGGAGAAAAAAAATGGCTCTTACTTTGCACTTTAACCATCCATGAACACAGTTAGTTTTAGAAAAGCTGGAGAATGAATGTATTTCTACTGATTTTGAAATTTTAATCCTCATCTTTTCCCATAGAGCTCACCTGAATGACCTGGAAAATATTGTGCCATTTCTTGGCATTGGCCTCCTGTATTCCCTGAGTGGTCCAGATCTCTCCACAGCCCTCCTGCATTTCCGAATCTTTGTTGGAGCACGGATCTACCACACGATGGCTTATCTGCTGCCCCTTCCCCAGCCAAACAGGGGCCTGGCTTTCTTTGTTGGGTTTGGAGTTACTCTCTCAATGGCTTACAGTTTGCTGAGGAATAAATTGTATCTGTAAAGAGCATTATACACTGTGTCCTCCAGCTGGTTTTCAAGAGATTCCTTCTTGCAGTATACAGTAGAATGAATATTTTGGGGGATTTAGAGAGGAGGAGAGTAGAGAAATTAAAAAATTTGGGGGAAATCCATTTTAAAGATTAGTGTCACTGATAGCCTTTATTTTTGTTTTATGTTTGCATTAGAAAATTTACATAATACTTAAGTCTTTTGTCTGATTCTTAAGTACTGCATTGTGAATTTTCACTATGTTATAATTTGTAACATTTAACATTTCATAGTGTGAGTCTATAAAAAAGAATGATTGCATGCATGAGAAACATGTTTCAGTACTGCTTAAATAGGCTGAGGAAATAAAGAATTTCAAGAATGATTTTGTCTGGTTTTATTTTTCCCATCTGTTAAATTTTAAAAGCTTCAAACTAATGGAAAAGTTGAAAAATAGAACAGCGAACCTCCACAGACCCTTCATCCGGACCCCATGGTTGTTAACGGTAAGGAACACTTGCTTTTGCTCTGGCTCAAGTTTTTTTCCTGCACAATTTGAAAGTAAGTTGGAGATATCCTGATACTTCAGGCATTAATACTTTTACATATTTCTCACATGAACCAGGTAATCTCCAAATAACCACAAGACCATCATAACACAGAAGAAATACAGCACTAATAATACAATGGTGTCTCAGTTCTCAAACTTAATTTGTTGTATAATTGTGGACAAGATGGCCACATTCATGTTCCTGCTGGAAAGGTGGCCACAGTTGTGTTCATCACCCAATGTAGAATTTGCAAAACAAGCCTGCCTGGCAAGCGTGAGGTCATGAGTTTGATTCCCGGTACCGGAAAAAACAAAACAAAACAAAACCAAAACCAGTGCTTTCCCAACCAAATGGCAATGAAAAGTGTTTGTGAATGGAGGCACCACTATATTAATACATAATTGCCCACATTCACATTTCCCCAATTTTCCTAATAATCACCTTTATAACTGCTCTTTTAAAAGCTATTGGCTTATTGAAAGGAACAGTTAAAGCTTAATATTTTTTTGACCAATTTTGCATGCTGATGTTTGGTAATCTGAACAACTACTTTGAACACAATATGCAATATAACAACCATGATTGAATTCACATCGTCTTGTTTTTTGAAATTCAAAAAAGCTATTACCAATTTGATATTTATATTAAAAACTAGGCAATTTATTTATGTGATAAAAAAGAACAAACATATTAAACAAAAATCTGTTTCCCATTTCTGTCCTTGATCTACTACTTCCCCAGAGGTGAAAAATAGGAAAATCTCCTGTGTCCTGTATATCCTAGCAAATTTATTCTACATACATGCAAGTAGTGGTGTTTATTGACACCACAAATTGTGGTGATAATACATTGTGCTGTTACATCCTTTTTTTTTTTTTTTTGCATTCCCTCTTAACACATTTGTGAGACAAAATTCACATAACATAAAGTTCACCAGTTCACCCTTGTAGTGGGTATGATTCAGAGTTTTTAAATTTTCAAGAATGGGGGCTGGGGATTTAGCTCAGCGGCAAAAGCGCCTGCCTGGCAAGTGCAAGGTCGTGAGTTCGGTTCCCGGTACCGGAGAAAACCAAAAAAAAAAAAAAAAAAAAAAAAAAAAAAAAAAAAAAAAAAAAAGAATGTACAACCATCATCACTATCTAGCTCCATCATCACTGTCTAATTTTTGTCACTCCAAAAGAGATAAACTTTGTGCCCATTAGCAGTCACTCTTTAGTTCCCTTTCACCAGGTCTCAGTAACCACTAATTGTGTTTTTAGTTTCTATGCATTTACCTATTCTGGACATTTTATATAAGTGGAATCAGAATGGTGTTTTATGTCTGGTTTCTTTCACTGAGAATAACATTTTCAACATTCATCCATGTTGTAACATTACTTTTTATTTGGCTGTTATCACTTTTGCTTTTTATTGCTGTTAACACATTTAGTATACAGAATAATGGTTTCACTGTGACATTTCTATATATGCATGCAACATATTTTGATCGTGTCCTCTCCTGTTCTTACATTCTCTTGCCTACCTTTCTCTTGCCCCTCACTTTGGTCCTCTTCCTCTTCTCTAAAAGTTCCCTCTACTTTCATGTTGATTTACTGTTTCTTTTCTAGATTCCACATATGAGAGAAAACATATTAGATAAATTGGCTTTTGTGATTAGTGCTTCCATGAACATGGTATGCAGATGTCTCCAGTACACTGACTTTGATGCTATTGATTATATTTCAAGGGGTGGTAGAGCTGAATCAAGTGGTAGCTCTATTTTAGTTTCTTGAGGAACCCCAATTCTGATTTCCACAGAGGAAATTACAGTCCCACCAAGAAGGCTGAAAAGTTTTTTTTTCCTCTCCAGGCATTTATTATATTATTTTTTGCATTCTTGATGATAGCCATTTTGACTCGGGTGAGGTGTTATCTCAATGTACTTTTGATTTGTATTTCCCTAGTGGTTACAGATATTGAACAATTTTTCATATAATCATTGGCTATTTGTGTATTTTTTCTTTTGAGAAGTGTCTGTTCTGATAATTTGCCTATTTATTGGTTGGGCTGCTTGGGTTTCTGGGTATTAAATTTTTTGAGTTACTTGTATATTCCAGATACTAATCTTCTACTGGAAAAATAGTTGGCAACCACCACCCCCGCCTGCCATTCTATGGACTGTCTTTTTCTCTGTTAATCGTTTTCTGTGTCATGCAAGAGCTTTTTAATTTGCTCCAATCCCATTCATCAATTTTTGCTATTATTTCCTGAGCTATTGAAGTCCTATTCAGGGCATCATTGCCTATGCCTATGTCTTGAAATATTTCCCATATGTTTTCTCTCAGTAGCTGCAAAGTTTCAGGTCTTACACTAAGGTCTTTTCTTGGTTTTTCTCTGGTACCGGGAACCGAACTCATGACCTTGCACTTGCCAGGCAGGTGCTTTGCCACTGAGCTAAATCCCCAGCTCCTTTACACTAAGGTCTTGATTTCACTTTGAGTTGATTTTTGTACAGGGTGAGAGAGGTATCTAGTTTTAATCTTCCAAATATGGATACTCAGTTTTCCCAGTACAATTCATTAAAGCGTCTATCTTTTCTCCAATGTTTCAGCATGTTTTTCTTGTAAATCAGATGACTATTACTGTGTGGGTTTATTTATGGTTCCTTTATTCCATTGGTCTTCATATTTTTTTCAATACCATGCTGTTTTTGGTATTGCTCTATGATATGGCTCTATGATATATATCGAAGTTGCATATTGTGATCCTTCCATCACTGTTCTTTTTGCTCAAATTTTTTGTTTTCTCAAGGTGTTTTGTGCTTTTATATGAATTTTAGGATTGTTTTTTCTAGTTCTGTGAAGGAGGACAGTATTTTGATGGGGATTGCATTGAATCTATAGATTGCTTTTGGTAGTATAAACTTTTTTTTTTTTTTTTTTTTTTTGTCTTTTTGAGACAGGGTCTCGCTATGCAGTTCAGGCGGGTCTTGAGCTCACTTTGTGGCCCAGGCTGGTCTCGAACTAGAAACGATCCTCCTGCCTCAGCCTCCCAAGTGCTGGGATTACAGGCGTGCGCCACCACTCACGGCCCCTAGTATAACCATTTTTAACAATAATAATTCTCCCAATCCATAGACATGGGAGATCAGCTTTCCATCTTTTAGTGTTGTAGGTATCTTTTATAATTGTTTTAGAGGTTTTTCACCTCCTTAGTTAGATGTATTGCTAGATATTTTATTTTATTAGAGGCTGTTGCAAATGGGATTGTTTTTAAATTTCTCAGCTAGTTTTTTGTGGGAAGCTACTTATTTTTATATGTTGATTTTATATCTTGTTACTTTGCTGAATGTCACTTGCAAAAGACCTTTGGTGGATTCTAGGTCTTCTAGATGTAAAATCCTATCACCTGGAAAGATCTGACTTCCTTTTCTATTTCTAACCACCTTATATTTTTATCTAGGAATCAAAGACCACCAATTGACTTCTGCTATCATGTATTATATTATTTTTCATTAACATAGAAGAATCCATTTTTGGGGATTGTTATCTTTTATGATATTGACATTTTTTGAAAAATATAAGCCAGTTGATTGAGTCTTAATCTGTAATGAGTCTTAATCTGGATTAATTTTGACCTATTTTTTAATTCTTAGTAGTCCTTTGTGGTCTTTCACATTGTAAAATATCAACAGGTATATGCATTATTTTGCCCCATTATTAGTGATGTTAATTTTGACCAGTTTAGTAAAGCAGTATTAAACAGACTTGCACCCTATAAAGTATCTTTTTATCTTTGTAATCATATGTGGGGCAATAAATTGAAACTGTGTATATAGCCTGTCCTCCTACAAACTTGTACCCAATAAGTTTAGCATCCAGCGATGCTGAGCTAGGTTCTAAATGAAAATGTAAGTATATAAACATAAAAATTCATAATACATGTATGTAAACCTATAAACACATATAAATTCATGCAAGTGGTTAGAATTATGTATACTTCAGTCTTTATAATGAAAGGGAAAATTTTAAAAATCTCAATATTTTTCTTATAAATAGCATCCAATTTATTTAATCTGCTAATTTTCCTCCCTACCTCTCAATTTTAAAAACATATTTTTAAAGTAGTACATTTAATGACTTTTGTGAATTGTTCACGTAGATTTGTCACACAAGAGAAAGTTAATACAACTCTTTAGTTTTAGTAGAGCAACTCTGAAGTTCATTAACAAAACCTATTAGACGATTATGTAGACTTCTTTTCTTTCCCTCTTTACTTCTTTTTCTAACGTTAAAAAGCACCTTCACATATCCTGGATTTTAACCTCTGGAATTTTTGTGGTGTAATTAGTGGAAAAGACCATGAGCTCAAAAGTGAAAAATCTAAAATCTGAGGGTTGGATTTTTATTCATAAAATACAAGCATACAATGCATACTTAACACAAGCCTCTCTCTCTTTCTCTTTCTTGCTCTTCCTCTCCTTTCTCTTTCTCCCCCTCCATCCCTCTAATTTCAATACCTATCTTATCTTGTCTGATTTGTAGCTTTCCTCAAACTTTTATGAGATTTGTTTATGTGAAGCATATGAAAAAGGTATATCCAAAAAGTATACCCAAAATAAGTAAGTATCCTCCATGTGTCAATAATTTGATTAATCTGTTAACCATAAAGATTCAGTTAGCTGGGTTTTTCCTAGTTAACATTTTTCCTTTATTTAACATTATTACTTTTCTCATATTCTTAAACTTTCTACTTTCTTGGTAGTGATTCTCAAGCAGCAGCAGAATGGACTGTGGTTTTTGTAATGGATACCTATTTAGCGATTAATATTTAATATCCCTTGCAAGACAATTAT